AACAAATAATAAACGCAAACCTGTATGTGATCAGTTGGAGTGGCAAAATACTCTGTTTTATTAGTACGTTATACAAAGATACATGGTTGGATTAGTTTTTCATTAGCTTTTTGAAATTCACATCTGAATCATGGATTCACACTGATGTATAATTTGTCAGTATCAGAGACCGTTAAATAAAACAAATCGTGGTGATCGACAAATCGGATAGTTTGTGTAGAATTAAAATTCATCAATATTTAGTGCTCACTACTGGATGTTCATGAGTGTAACGTAATACTGAAGATCGCCCGAAGTTGGTAATGTGAACCGTCAGACTGCAACCACCTGATCTATTGCTTGGAAAGTGGGCATGCTGCTCTTCGTGATCACGAGTGAACACTAATCTGTAGACTATACTAGGACATCAAGACATATACTGTGATCTTGAATCCTCTACAGTGTATTTACTGAATCTAGTCATTGGTGAGGCTTTATGAGTTGAACAATCTCTACATATATCTAACAAATATATTTCAAGTAATAGATGGTCATCAATGTTCGATGTGATATTTTATCAAAGTTAAGTTCAGCAGTGCATTCGGCGTATTACACAAAATCAATTACGCATTCGCGTGGTACCACAGATATGTTCTTCAATGTTCGTGATGATACTTTACCACCGTGGTTCTGGGAGATTAATCGGTCGCATAACGTGAAATCGAGTGAGTATTGACTTCACAACACGTCAACTGCTCGACCAAGTGATAGTTGTCAACAAACTAGTTTATTAACAGAAATGATATGAACGTAGATTCTGTCAACCTTTATGTATGGAATTTCGAATATAAATAGAATATATTATCTGAACTGAGTTGTGGTAAATTCAGTTGGTCGAGTCAACTATGACATAGTATCGGAGTTGCACAGTTCAAAAGCAACGACCTAACATGGATAATAGGAGTTTGTGTGACAGCAAAGGTGTTACACCACATGCAAACGTTCTGTCAATCACAATGGTATTCTGAGCTAACATTTACAGATGGAGCAAGTAGATGGACATTAGGTCTTTCGATTTTCAAATAGAAACCCGTCAAATAATCAAACGCATTTCAATCTAACGTCTGTTATTAGTATACGTCAAACCGCTTTTTGTTATTCTGAGAGTTTCTCTATACAAACACATGTTATCGTTGTAGGTGTTTGCTGATAAAATACTCCACTTTAATTGAATCTTTGATTGTGCAGAACAATTTATTGCAAACATGGTTTCATCGGAAACTAGAAACATCTACAGAATCGTCAAAAAGCCACATACTGTCTCAACATTCGGTCAGTCGGCTAATATAGTGAATTCGCCATATTCAGGCCAATTGATTAAAATGTAACAGTTTCATTTTCACGTTTTCGTTGATTCACGATAGACAATGACCGTATTTCTCTGTTATTGGTGATACCTATTTAAGCACTTAAGCTGTATACACCTGTGTCTAACCTCACAATAGTTTACTAGAGTTTCGGTGTGTGATAATGATCATGTATAAAGTAGTCTACATTATTATCATGCTCATATAGTCCACGCAGTGTTGATTGTGTTGCATCAGTCAAGCGACGATGCAAGGCTGCATCTGTACATCACCGATTCTGCACCCAACGGTTGCAAAATGTAACTTGAGACTTTCTGTCATATAGCGCGTATATCCAACCCTATACTGACATAACCATTTCAAAAGAACGACAAGTCAAATTCTATTTTACACTACAGGTAAGTACTTCAACTGACCTTTAAGCTGATTTACCTCAGAATGATGATCAAGAATATTTACAACGCTATGAAGGAGAAATCAACAGAAACAACTCTTATACACTGAAAGGATTTAATCAACAAAACTCTATTCAAATTCACTGTTTCTAAGGAAAAAACAACATTTGAAGATTGAATTGCGTTTTCTGATACAGTTCAACATGGAGAGCGTTGCAAAGCTACACTCGTACCACTTGCTGCAAATTTACATTTTTTTATAAGTATTATTTAAATAATATTATCCATAGAATCTACATTCAGCATTAATCTTCGACCTACTCAACGCATATTCAAAACGATCACTTTTTGCTGGTTCCACAGGTTATATTATATTCGAGAGTTACCAGCATATGAGTGTTAAATAAATCCTCATTGACCGGGTTAAAATTTTAAGTTCAAATTGATCTTCTATGATAAATGTTCGGATATACAAAATTGTGGATCGTATGAATCGCATTACGAGGTAACGTAATATTCAGTTGGGTGCTTTCCATGGAATAGTTATAGACATCTGTAATAGGACAACTAACAGAACTGCCATTAAGCGAATTTCCGTAACACATTCACGAAGGACAGAAGTCTTATCCATTGCGTTCATGTTTAAATCTTTTATCTTGATTCGTTATTTAAGCATATACAGGAAGAATAGGGCGGGAAAATAATTTAGTCCAGTTTCCTAAGAAATATTTTCTATTCCAACTTATAACGAAGGTGAACTAACAGCTTGAGGAAACCGAGCTTATAGAAATTTTAAACCAATTGATTCTATGATTATTTTAGTTAATATTAAGTAGCTTTGTCAAGAAATGTCGTATGTTTACCTGAAGACCTTTGTTACGGGAGAACTGAAGACTTTTGACGGATTAAAACCTTTTATTGTACAATAATAATTTACTGTGCTTTTGGATGTAATTGTTTTACTTAACTTTTTAACTTGTTTGTTTATATCATTATTTCGGACATTTTGGTTTGTCTTTGGTTTGGTATTTTGGTGCTCTCTTTGTCTTTGGTTTGGTATTTGGGAGTTTTGCTCCGGGAACCTACAAAATTGAAGGTTTGTTTTGTAATTGTTATAATTATTGTTGTTAGAACGACATTTGGTCGATTACTTGTGAATTACGAATAAATTTGGTATCTAAATTGGGACTTGGTTCTGTTGTTAATTTGGGTTCGTAATTTGCGAGTAGATCGATAGTCCGTACTTCAATAACTGGAACGAGCAAAACTTGGACGTAACATAAAGTTCTTCAATTATTGGTTCCGTGTTCATACCTTGGATTTTCTGGATATTTTGGGTCCAAATTCCTGGTCTTATTGGTCGATTTCGTTTGGATTAATTCGGATTTGTTTTGGTAATTGATTATTTTGAACAACAAATACAATGGAAACACGGAGCAAAAGGCTGAAGGAAAATGACGAAATGGATGGTAAAATTCCTAAAGCTGTTTGTGGTATGTCTGATGTTAATGATGATAAATGTGATGATGTTAGTCTTAATAGTATGTCCTCTAGCCAGCTAAGTACTTCTAGATTAAAATTAGATAAAGCATTACTGAGGAAAAGGAATTTAGAGAAGAGACTTGAATTAGAGCGGCAACTTAAGGTGTTAGATCTACAAGAAGAGGTTGATATCGCTGAACTAGAATGCAAGGCCATCGAGGACGATGAACGATTACCCGTAGATAAATGTGGGATAAATGCTAAAGTGGAAAATTATTTGGATTGTGATACCGGGTGTAATAATCACTCAGGGGAGGTATGTAACATCTCAAATGTCGATTGGGTTGGGGAGCTGAAGGACACGTTACATACAATGGTTAGTAACATGGTTTTACCTAAGATCGATATGATGTACTTTGATGGGCAGCCGGGTCAGTAATACCGTTTCATTAGTCAGTTTAATAGCCTTATAGAGAGTAAACTGTCAGATAAGGGCCAATTGTTGTCGTATTTGTTATATTATTGCAAGGGAAAGGCCAGAACAGCAATTGAATCTTGCGTTTCTTTGCCCAGTGATTTGGGCTATGATAGGGCTAAACGAATTTTGTATGATTTATTTGGTAAAGAACATCTTGTTGCACGAGAACTAATTATTGAGTTATTAAACCATAAACCTGTCGGAGGATCGGCTGACGTATTAACTGACTTTGCGATTAAGTTGCGTAATGTATGTATAACGTTGAAGCAAATGGGATATATGTCTGACGTTAATTCTACGGCTAATTTGGAGGTAATAGTTTCTTGCCTACCACTAGAATTGCAGAATAAGTGGGTGGAAGTCGCCGATAAAATCATGATGCATGGGAAGGAGCCGAGCTTTGAAGAATTTGTGGTCTTTGTAGAAGAGAGGGCCAGAATTGCCCGAACCCGTTATGGTAGATTAGTACAGTGTAACTCAAGGTTCGGTAAAAGGAATTCTGAAGGCCAAGCTGATAGGAGATCACGCTTTCATGCAATTAGACGAGACCCAAATAGCTCAGTCAAGGTGTCACGTTGTGAAATCTGCGTAGGTGATCATGAGGCGACAGATTGTCCAAGGTCAGCAAAAATGAATGTAAGAGAAAGGAGGCAAGAGGTAAGAAAACGTGGTCTATGTTACTTATGTTTGAAGAAAGGTCACATAGCTATGACATGCAACTCAGGCATCAAGTGCGACGTTGAGAATTGCAAGGTTAGACATAATTCATTATTGCATATTGATAGTGTTGATAACCATGTGGTGAACCTAGCTAAGGATTGGAACTCTTCAAGGGTTTGTTTGGGGATCGTTCCAGTCAGACTATACGGTCCCAAAGGATGTTTGGAAACATATGCACTTCTAGATAGTGGTTCGGACACTTCTCTTGTATGTGAAGAATTAATTAATCAGTTGGGTATCAAAGGTAAAGAGACTTCGATAAGGGTGGCGACTGTGAACGGAACTACCAATTGTGATTGTTTGGAGGTAAATTTAGAGGTATTTTCATTAGATGTACGGGGTTCTGTAAGGATCAACAAAGTTTACACGACCAAGAAACTTCCGATCGATCATGCAACACCTTTAACCGAACTCCAACTGAAACGGTGGAAACATCTAAAGGACATAACCCTTCCGAAGTTGCAAAGTAATTTAGTAGGAATATTGATTGGGTGTGATGCTCCGGATGCACATTGGGTCCTGGAACAACGTCTGGGGGACAGGAAGCATCCGTTTGCTGTGCGTACTCATCTTGGTTGGATGATTATAGGTCCTAGGGGAGTATCAAGGTCTCTACATCAAGTTCAGTTGTGTCATTGTTCCACTAATGATATTTTGCGAGATTTAGAAAGACTATATAATCATGAGTTCGAGGATACAGATACGTTTCGTAATGGATATTCTGTCGAAGATAAAAAAGCTCTAGAAATAGTTAGCAGTTCGTTTAGATTGGAGGGTGGTCATTTCCAAGTTGGTCTACCATGGAAGTATGATAAGCCTAGACTACCGAATAATTTGGAACTGGCTGAACGCAGATTAGAATGCCTAAGGAAGAGGTTTATGAAAGATAACAGTCTTTTGGAGAAATATCAAGTTGTGATTAATAAACATTTAAGTAAGGGCTACATCATTGAAGCTAGTGAAGAGGGATTTGACTGTGATGCTGTTTGTTGGTATATTCCTCATCATCCTGTTATCAACCCTAAAAAGCCTGGAAAATTGAGAATTGTTTTTGATTGTGCGGCTGTCTATCAAGGTTGTTCTCTTAATGACCAGCTTTTGAGAGGACCGAATACTGTAAATAGTTTAATTGGTGTACTCCTACGATTCAGATTAGGTAACGTAGCATTAGCTGCTGATATTGAAGAGATGTTTCTTCAAGTAAAAATTCCGAGACAAGACAGGGGAGCATTTCGTCTATTGTGGTGGGAAGACGGTGATATACGACGAAAGGCTAAGGAATATTGTTTAACAGTTCATCCGTTTGGAGCCGTGTCCTCTCCCTTTTGCGCTAATTTCGCTCTTAAGAAGACGGTAGATATATTTGGTAAGGAATTCAATGAAGATATCCAGGATGTCGTAGATAGGAGTTTCTATGTCGACGACTAGTTAGCCTCTATTGATAATGTACAGGATGCAATTGAGCTGGCAAATGCCCTTGGTTCTCTCCTCAGAAAAGGTGGGTTTAGACTTACCAAGTGGATATGTAACTGTTTACAAGTTATTGAATCAATTCATCCAGAAGAGAGAGCAGAAGCCGTAAGAGAGATTGACTTTGAAAGACTTCCTACGGAACGCACGTTGGGATTATTTTGGAATACTATGGTTGATTCGTTTGATTTTAAAGTTCGCATACCGAAACGCCCCCTCACTAGGCGTGGTATATTGTCAAGTGTAGCCTCACTTTACGATCCTCTGGGATTAGTAGCACCGTTTATACTTCCCATGAAGCAGTTACTTCAGCGTTTAGGTAAATTGGGACTAGGATGGGACGAAGAGATTCCAAATGAGGAAAGCAAACGTTGGTTAGAGATTTTAAGTGAATTTAAAAGGGTTGAGAACGTTAGTTTTCCACGTTGTGTATTGTTTCCTCAATCTGATCGTTCGCTCCTGGAACTTCATATTTTCAGTGATGCATCGGAAACTGGATATGGTGCAGTAGCATACGTCCGCTCTTACAATTTTGACACTGAGATATGTTCTCGTCTTGTTATGGCTAAGGCAAGAGTAGCCCCCTTGAAGGTCCAAACTATACCGCGCTTGGAACTGTCGGCAGCAGTTTTAGCAGCTCGCATGGGATACCAGCTGCAGTCAGAATTAGACATTAAGTTTGCAGAGGTTAATTTTTGGACGGATTCCATGATTGTCTTACACTATATTAGAAATGAGAAAAGCCAGTTTAAAACATTCATAGCAAATCGAATTTCGACTATTCACAGTCTTACTAAAGTGGACCAATGGAGATTCGTACCTTCTAAAGAAAACATAGCAGACTTCGCATCCAGAGGGATCAAGTTTAACATCGATGATGTCAAGGTATGGGAGGAGGGTCCACGTTTTCTCAAGAAGCCGAAGGAGTGTTGGCCTGCTGCTGATGTACAAGGTCCTGACCCCCATCTCTTGGAAATAAAGAAGGCAATGTCGGCGCATGTAAAGGCTGAAGAATCCACTGTTGATCAACTTATTAATTATTATTCAGATTGGACTAGATTACTTAAGGCTGCTGCGTGGTTAACCCGATTTAAGCGATATTTATTGGTAATGCGTTCTGGTAGAACTGATCTGTCTCTACAGGTGGGTATGCTCAAAGTTGATGAATTAAATTTAGCTTGTTTAGATTTAATTCGATATGTCCAACGCTTAATATTTCGGAAAGAGATTGAAATATTGTCGTCTGATACCATTAGCAAGGCGAAAATAAAAAATTCACCGTTACGGATCTTAAATCCAGTGATGTTAAACGGATTATTATGTGTTGGTGGCCGACTTCAAATTAGTTCCTGGCCCGAGTCGAGGAAGCATCCTATAATATTACCATTAAAGCATAGAATTACAAATTTGATTCTACAGTATTATCATATTTTGGAAGGGCATGTTGGAGCCACACAGGTAATGGCAACAGTTCGAGAAAAATTTTGGGTGCTGAAGGGTGGTGTGACCATGAGGAGAGTGATTAAGGATTGTGTTTATTGTAAAAGGAGGAACGCCTGCCCCATCCAACAACGGATGGCACCACTACCACTGAGTAGAATAGAAGATGGTGAGTATCCATTCTTATTAGTTGGTGTAGATTATTTTGGACCCATTATGGTTAAACATGGTAGACGTACCGAGAAGAGATATGGTTGTGTATTCACATGTTTAAGATTGAGAGCTGTGCATCTGGAAGTTGCATATAGTTTTACCACAGACTCATTTATCATGGCATTGATGAGGTTTATCGGCAGGAGAGGCTATCCAAAAGAGATATACAGCGATAATGGATCAAATCTGGTGGGGGCTGAACGGGAGCTAAGAAAATGTCTTCAGGATTGGGTACAGGAGCGTATACACTCTGATTTGCTAAGAAAGGGGATTGACTGGCATTTCAGTCCACCGGCTGCTAGTCATTGGGGAGGAGTTTGGGAGCGCATGATTCGCTCTGTACGTAGAGTATTGGGTGTTCTTGTAAAGGAACAATCTTTAACAGATGAATGCCTTGAAACTTTCATGATAGAGGCTGAGCGTATAATTAACAATCGACCTTTGGTTCCGGTTACGGACGACTCTAATGATCTCGATGCAATAACACCAGCGAAACTATTACTATTGAGAGAGAACGTCGCCGAACTCACTAACGTAATATCTAATGACAGGTATTCTAAGAGATGGAAGCAAGCGAATTACTTGGCACAAGTATTTTGGAGACGTTGGTCTAAGGAATATGTTTCGTTGTTGCAGCGTAGATACAAGTGGACCCAACTAGAGAGGAACATACGAGAGGGTGACTTAGTAATGATATGTTCCGAGTTCTCTGAGAAAAACAAATGGCCCTTGGGTCTGGTGCAGAGAGTGTTACCAAGTAAGGATAGATTAGTGAGGCAGGTAGAATTAAGGACAAGAAAGGGGATCCTAGTGAGAGATATTAGAAAACTATGTCTTCTTGAAGCTGTAGATGGTAGGTAGTTACTCGGGTCCCTAGGCGTACTGGTGTAAGTCCTAGGGATCACGAGATTGTTGGTATATTGAGTGTCTGTTGTTGTTTGTTTGTGTTGCATATACTTAGATTCTTGTTGTCTATTTATTTGCCTGAAAAGAACCAAGGTTCTTTTGGTCGGGAGTGTTACGGGAGAACTGAAGACTTTTGACGGATTAAAACCTTTTATTGTACAATAATAATTTACTGTGCTTTTGGATGTAATTGTTTTACTTAACTTTTGAACTTGTTTGTTTATATCATTATTTCGGACATTTTGGGTTGTCTTTGGTTTGGTATTTTGGTGCTCTCTTTGTCTTTGGTTTGGTATTTGGGAGTTTTGCTCCGGGAACCTACAAAATTGAAGGTTTGTTTTGTAATTGTTATAATTATTGTTGTTAGAACGACATTTGGTCGATTACTTGTGAATTACGAATAAATTTGGTATCTAAATTGGGACTTGGTTCTGTTGTTAATTTGGGTTCGTAATTTGCGAGTAGATCGATAGTCCGTACTTCAATAACTGGAACGAGCAAAACTTGGACGTAACACCTTGAATGTTTTCATGAATTCACTGAAGTTCATATGAATATCATTGAACAAAAACGGTGATATCAGTGAGGTGTTTGACTGAAAGCATTTTCAAATAGTTGAGAATATTTCCTGCCTAACTCAAAACTGGCCACCAGTTGTTCTATACATTTCGACTAGCGTTTACTTTCAAGCTTCATACTAATCGACTTATTTTTAAAAGAACACGAGGTTCAGTGAAGAGATCTTTTATCAGAGAATCTATAATCAAGTAGTACAATCGTACATTCACATGTGTGACGACCGTTTTTTCTAGAATAATAGTTACGTGAGTACGTATGAACAGGAAATTGATGAGATGATGAAATTAAAAGATTATAATGCTAGATTAGGTGATGTGCATAATAACAGTAGACTTAATAAAATGCTAATGAAGCACAACGCGAGTGCATTAAGATTATCAAAATGTTTTCGTTACAATTATTATTATTGTTGTTATTCACAAACATCTTATGGGTACATAAGTGTTGTGAAGAAACCACTTCAAGTTTGGGAATAAAATATGTTCATAAGGAAAAGCAAAAGCAAAAGGAGTATATATTATGTCGAGGGACCAATGAAGATAATCAAAACAGTAATTTTTATGTATATGAACATAAGCAGACTATATATATCAGGTAGAATAGAAAGAATAAAGGAGAAAATAGACGTGCAAACTTAAGAAGCTCACACTCTGCATTTCAATGAATTAGATGGACGATGGGCCAGGTTCATATAAATCATTATTAAACACACTGATATCCAACATGTAACAAAATCCACTCTCGGAAAAGAAATCATAAAGGAGACTTCTGGACCGTGTTGTAATTTTACTGCAACGGAGGTTCACTTACTGTCTGGTCCACATGGTTGAGTAGCGAACAATCGAAACATTTTTGCGTTAGTTTACGTACTTTCTCGCAGTTGCTTGATTATTTTCCTTATTGCGTACCAAAGAGTAGGAATTATTGTTAACAGTCCGATGGATTAAGACAAAGTTTAATTTGACATGCCTGTTTAAGAAAGATTCTAGTCTGAATTGCTGACATGTTTGATAGTAATCCCTGCTGTAAGATTACCCTAAAATAGCTTTGATGAAACTTCTTTGAACGCATTCAGTTTTAATAAGGTCGTTATGACTGCATTACATTTGCAGGTTTAGAGTAGCAAGATCCATAGTGGACGATTCGGCTAAGTTCTTCTTAAAACAATATGAGCCAAGATAAAAGGGGATAACGTATGCCAAATGAAGAGAATTTCAGAAGACGACGTTAGTGTGAGACAGTGTCGAAAGCTTTACAAAAGTCGAAATACAGAATTATCACTGACTGAACAACATCTCTTCTCCGTGTAATTTGATAAAAATAGTTCCAGGTGTGATATGAGGCATGAGCATTTAATCATAAAAACTTGTTGAGAAGTGCTAATTAGTCTACTTGAAAGTAAAAATGATAATAGCTGTTTGCGCATGTCCTTTCCATGGTTCTTTATAGCACGGATGTGTTAGGTTCGTTAACCTTGAGGATACTACTGATTCGACTTATTCGGAACGGAACGAAGGCTCAGGATTCACAGACTCAATAGACTATTCTGGTCCGTTGTCCCCAACTCTGCTAACTCGATCAAAAAGTCTGGGTATGGTGTAGAAAGTGTATTCTACAGACAAACAGCAGATAACAAGTCAGGCAGGCAGATCAGATCAAGTATACAAGTCAAGCGTATTTATACAATTATTTACAATCGATATTGTCATAAAAAGTTTTTAAACATTAATCAATGAGTTCATTAATTGACCTATTTGCGTATTTAATCGATAGTTCATCAACTGACCTATTTGCGCATTTAATCGATAGTTCATCAATTGACCTCAATAAAAATATCTAACATTTAATCGAAAAGATGATCAGTAAGATAAAATTTAAAATATGAGTTTGGGGATCTATCGTCCCCAACACTCCTCCCCTTTTTATTAGCGGGCTTTCCTGGAGTCAACCTGCATCTTGACTGTAGCTCGACGTTCTCTTATAGGCCATCGTCTGGGACGTGTTCCAGGTTGTTTTTGGGGTTTTTCTTGTGGTAGGGTTGCCGGTAAGTTGAAAGTATCAAGCAAGATGTCGAGAGGAAGATTTAGTCCTGTTGATGGGTGGTCTGGGGCTATCCGCTTACGTAGTTGATTTCGGTGTCTAGTCCATGTGTCTCTTCCCACCTTTACCTCGTACATAACTTGGCCTAGTCTTCCGACCACACGTGCTTCGATCCAGGGACCATCATTTGCTCTGTAGTCTCGAGCGAACACAGAGCATCCAACCTCGTACGCTGGAAGCTTCTGAGATTTGGTGTGAGATGGTGGTGGTGTGGTTCTTGGGCACATGAGACTGTGGATCGTCCTCAATTTCCTTCCCATTAGGATCTCTGCCGGGGACTTCTGCTGTGGTAGCATATCACTAGGTGTTGTTCGGTAAACAAACAAGAAATTCTGCAGTGTTTCTACTGGCGTCTCCTCCCCTTTCGACTTCAATAGAGCTCTCTTGAATGTATCCACAAATCTTTCTGCTTGTCCATTTGACTGTGGGTGGTAAGGTGGAGAGCGGAAATGCTTGATCGATAGGCGTTTGCAAAATTCTTGAAATTGGCTTGAGGTGAATTGCGAACCGTTGTCGGAAACGATTATATCCGATAACCCATTGCGAGAGAACAACTCTGTAAACAGTTGCATCGTTTGGGTTGTCGTCGGTGGCATGACGGGAACGATTTCTGGCCAGTTCGAAAAGGCGTCAACAACGACTAGATAGGTGATTCCATTAATTGGGCCTGCGAAATCGACATGTATCCTGGACCAGGGATACTCAGGCTGTGGCCATGGGACTGGTAGTATTTTCGCGTTACACTTAGCTGCTTGCTGACATTGTGTGCACCTGCTTACTAAATCCACGATATGTTGGTCCTGGAGGGGCCAATAAGCAAAGCTTCTGGCGATGGATTTCATTCGTTTTATACCAGGATGACCAGTGTGGAATTGCTTTAGCACCTTTGATCTTAGGGATTCTGGTACCACTACTCTATCTCCAAACATCAAGCATTCGTTTACGACGCATAATGAGTCCCGACGGTGGTAAAGCTGTTTCAAGTCACCATCGAGTCCAGTCGGCGGCCAGCCATTAGTGACGTATTTCATCGCTCTCTTTATGATGGAGTCGTTCTTGGATGCAGATTGTATTTCAGCTGCTGAGACTGGCAAAGCACGAATAGCACTTGTTAGGTAGCACTGCGCGCGGTCCTCTGTCATTAGGGAGGCACTAACTGCATCTTCGCCGGCCGTATGGTGTTCGCTGGTTGACAACTCCGTCAGTAGTTCCTTCGAATATGCTTCAGCTCAATGAGATTGTTTCATCATTTGGCATACGGTGCTTAAAGGAACGTCAGCTAAAGATAACTGGTCAAACCAGTCCAATCCAAGTAGATTAAGATCAGATGGTGTAATGTAACGTACACCGGTAAACGTCGAATCGTGAAAAGACACTTTACAATCTAGTTGTCCCAACAAACTTAGGTAATTACCACATGCGGTTCGTGGTTTTTGTGTTGTTGGCACCAGGCGTGGTCTTATCATTCTGATCCAATATTTTCGTGAGAGAATTGTTACATCAGATGCAGTGTCTATTTGCAATCTAAACGGGTGCCCATTAATATTAAGGGTAATAAATTTCCTCTCAACTGGGGTTGAGTTTTCACAGCTTGCTATTAGACTTAACGAATTCGTGTTGGATCTAGGCGTAGGCTTCCTGGTACCTTTGGAGTTGCTTGGCTTCTTTTTTCTACAAAAACCATCTTTATGACCCATCGTGTTACATTTCCTGCACCGATGTTGCTTATATGGACAGTATCGAACAAAATGCCATGCACCGCAGTGCCAGCATGGGGCAGGAGGATTTGTTTTTGTCTTTTGACTTGAACTAGATGTCGCTGGGGCATATTTATGCGAGTTGCGTGGTTGTTGGACTACATGAACTTCGGTACGATCTGAACCACCACGCTGGACCATTGTAGTATCACGCTGTAGATTGATTAGGCGTTGATATTCGTTTGCAATATCATTAAGAGTTAGTTTTGGGTCTTGGTCCAATCGACTTAGCAAACGTGTTCTAATGTCACTGAACTTCTGTGATTGAAGGCTGCAGATGAGAATGAGTGCTTTAAATTGGTCTTCTGTAAGCGACTTCAACCGGAAGCGTTCACATTCTCGGTTAACGATACCCACATGTGTGAGAAAATCAGCATCTTCGTTCATAGTGAGCTTCAGACATCGATAACGCGCATTGAATAGTGAGGAGTTGTCTCCGAATTGTTGGCTCAATGACTGGACAGTGTCCGAGAATGAGCGATCGCGTGGATTCAGAGGCAGAATTAGGTTGCAATACCTGTCTAGTTCATTAGGACCCAACTTTCGAAGCAGCAAGCGGACCTTCCAAGCATCATCCTGATTAGCAAAGTCCAATTTGAATAAGTCTTTGTAACGTCGAAACCACATATCAAACGTGACATTGGATTCTGGATCGTAATGAAACTCGGAGATACTGTTAGCGATACCATCAACTGATGGTGCAGTAGTAGTAGGATTAGAACTGCTTGGTTGAGTATTAGA